TCGCAGCCTGACTGGAGAAGACCTTTGGAATTCATGTCACCTCCAAACAGCTGCGAAACTTCTAGTATGGAGTCACCCATGGATAGCTACCTGGAGACCAGTACTCTCGATCTGGATGACCTCCAACATCGAGCAGCTCCGACAACGTCGCTACGGTCTAGGACATCATCTTCACGGCAGTCGCCAAGGCGCGGGTTGATGGTATGGACCGGACGCACCTGGAATGGAAAGACCAATATTTTCTTCGTGGACCCCGGGCTGAAGCTGAGCGCTGGCGGTTACATCGACCAACTCAAGAAGAATATCTTCCCCACATGTCGTCGCCCGTACCTTCTTGGAAACTTTGTACTGCTACAGCATTGGGTGCCACCACGTGGAATCGAAGGGCGTTGGAGAAACTCTCGCCTACTTGGAATGGAAGGGGGCTGAGTACCTAAAGAAGATGGAATATCCAAGTAGGTCACCTGACCTGAATCCCCTCAATTACCCGGTTCGGGCGGAGTTCAATAGGGTGGTCTACGGTGGCGGAGAAATCGACTATCTCGCTGATCTCAGGGACCACATCGCGGTTGCGTGCCAGAATCTCTCGATGGCGCTCCTCCAGAAGGCTGTGGCGGAGTGTCATAATAGTATTTATGCTCTTTAATATGGTGGTAGAAATGTCCGATCAGAATTTATAAAGTGTAACTTATAGCGCCTCGAAAGTCAATGAAGCAAAGTGACTTTTTTTGGCCCCCCTGTATATTGCTGTAAACTGAAAAGCTCTTTGTTGGAGGGTAGTAGCAGTTGCCGTCATGGTTTCAGTTCCCATTCTAATAGTCAGACCGCATTCAGTAACTTACAGTGAGCTAAATGAACCCTCTTCGGAAAGGAGTAAAATCCAACTTCCGACTTGCGTTCAGCGCAGTGCTACTTTTAGCCAGTGTCCAGTTCGTATAGACACAAGATTAATTTGTGAGGAATCACAATCGCATGAGCAGTCGTGCGCAAATAATGGAGTTGATTCCATTAACTCCACAGCAGAGTTTGCCTGACAAAAAAAGATGCAATGTGAAGAAATACAGGAGCGGCTGTGCTACTGAAAGGGGCAGGACACCCAAAAACGCTCCAAAGTAAGTCTGACGCTTTTGTTGCCGCAAGCTACAGCAACAAAAGCGTCAGACTTACTGAGGATGGAAAAGCTCAA